AGTATGAGTACACACACATTTTACAGTATCGGCCCCAATACCCGATACCAGTATCGGTATCGGTGCATCCCTACTGTCTTGTATTTGGGTACTGACCTCATTGAGACTGGCATCGACAAAGCATATTCACATTGAGGACTGCTACTTGCTGGACATTTTCTCTTTTTCGGTCCATTCTCTAAACCCTAGAGATGATCGTGTGGGCAAATCCCAGCAGAGCAGCAGTTTTTAAAATACTTGGATCAGCTCGCCTGGCACCAACAACCATACCATGTTCTTTCTTCCTCTTTCTGATGTTCAGTTTGATCTTGAGCAGGTTGTCGGTATACATAAATGCATACCTAAATAAGCTGTTGCCACACTGTCGCTAAGTAAGAAATTATTTTTGAGACAAATGAGGGTTTAAAAGACAACAAAAGCTGACCTCATAGTATCCATTGCTGTGCTTTATCCGTTTATACAGCAGTGATGAACACTAAGTGGGACTGTGGATTTCCTTTCCAAGTCACAAATGTTTCATCCCATGTATGGAGGCAAGTTCCATAATTACATCTGATGCACTATGGCTGCATTAAAATGCATATTTTTTTCCTGTCTCTGTATTTAGGAAAATGAGGAGAATCCATCACTGCTTTTAAACAGTTCTGCACCTAGAAGACTGATTCATCCCGGCAGCTCAGAGAAGCTTTCTGTGTGTCTCCCAGCTAAGACTGTTGGAAAGCTCCGCAGCACTCTATGAATTGCTGTGTTCACCTATTCCAGTTCACTTTTACTACTAGCATGATACAGACACTAGAATTTGTGGCATAGGCGGGCAGACATATACTAAAAATTGATTTAGAAATTCTTATACACTTTAAAACAAAACACAACTTTATTTGAGCTCACATCTCATAGTGGGATGCTAAAGCATTTGGAAGCATACAGTAAACATCTGGGGGAAAAAAAAGCAGCGTTATCCAGGTTTAAGAGTGGATTTACTACATATCTCTCCAGTCATCTATCAGTTCACGTACAGGCTTTCTGTCTTCCTTAGTGACTAATTCATTTTCAGTCCAATTGGATATGAAATTAATGAGCTGATGATTTAATTGCTTTGTTAGCTTTTGAAATAATTAGCTGCCACTTCAATTTTAGTCCTACCACAGGAGAATATATTATAAACATGATATATACATTACAATCCAGTCAAATGGTGACATATTTTGTCAGTGTAGAACAATTTTAATGATCAACTCACAGAGCTTCGCTTTTGGATATTGTAACATTTATGCACAAATAGTAGATTAACCCATGCTGTATAACAGACTTCCACTTCTATCTCTCACTCTTCAAATGGTACTTCAGTGTAATCAGCTGTTACCTACATATTAAGACATTTTCCACATTAACTACGTTTGATTTTCTAGGCCTTAAAAGCCTTGTAAATTAAAATGTTTATGTTCCACTTGTATGCATTTCTAGTGCTTACTCATGGTAAACGAAACACTAAACTTTCTGGCAACCAGAGAGCCACAGTTTATCATATTTAGTGTTTCACTTTTCTCTGAAAGCTCTTCCCTCCCTACGTACTGTCATATCAGCAATGCCTGATATCCACAGGGAGCCAACTTGTGACTGGAAGTGTACCTCAATACTTCCAAAGCTGACATAGACACAACCATCCACATGCACAATTTTAAACACACACAGGCAAACCCCTGTGTAACTGCAGTTTTATGACCCTGTCCTCTCCTCTAAGGCAGTGTTGAGGAAAGGAGTTTCTCCTCTGCACTCTCAGGCGTCAATCGATGCAGATTCTCCTAGAATTACATTACGTCCCGCTCAATAGGTTGGCAAAGAACCACACAAATAGACCTGATGACAGAAGATCATGGGGATATTGCATATTGGTACCCAGTCTGTCTTGTCATTTAAGTGACCATCCGCGGGAACGGCTTCATTCCTCATCCATCCTGGCCTTCTGTTATCTTATATGGTGTAGAACCATTCAGACAGGCAGTGAAGAATTGTGTGAGCACTGCAGGCTGCACATGAACACTTTTGTTTTCCTGGAGAATCCCTTACATAAGCAGACTTTTATTCATGTTTTTTAAATTCTCCTGTCAGTGAATAAGAACTGGAAAACTGAAAGAGAAACCTTATTAAAACTCAGAATATTCATTTTGAGTTTGCTGCTTTTTTTTGACAGTCGATTTTGTCGCTCTGTATTACTGTTTGACATGAAATTTGGCTGTAGTCACTGCACCATCAATACAGGATTTATTAAGCTTTTATGCGCTGTTGATAGCAGCAGACCATACAGCACAAATCAGAATTCTAAACCCTTCCGTCTTGTGCTGCATTTAAAAGCAATCAATGCTAATCGAGCTGTGTGATGCAGCAGGTTTGATGTGATTATTGAGATTCCAGTCGTCTTGCTCCTTACCCAGGGGAGTCAACCCTGTGCTCTTTCTCCTCTTTTGACTCCACCCACCCCTTCACCACGATCACCCTGGTATCGACCCGGTCCAAGCCAGCTTTCAGCAGCCTCTTTCCTCGATTGTACAAATGCTGAGAAAGTGATCTGCGACTTCCAAAGTCACTCACTGGTAAAGTTTTGGCCGTTTGACATTTTTCCTCATACGTATCATCTCTCCTTCAAACTGAGAAGGTGGCTTTCAATGTCAAAATGTAGTGAAAGCTTTATATTTAAGTTTGAGTGAAAATATTTTTAAACACCGATTTACTTTGTTGTGCTATGAGGCAGTGAAAGAACCCAAGCTTCACCGCATTAATAGGAAGCTCATTTTCAAAACCCCAATTAAAAGTCTATGCTCCAACCATAGATCAGCAGAGCTTCTGTATAGAACATTGATTGCGATTTCGACCACTGCTTGGTCAGATATATGTACACTACGCTGAGCACAATGAAAAGCTATCTGCTGTGTTTAAAGACTGCAGAGATTTATTAGATTTACGTCTGTTTTCTCATTACACTGGTCTTTATTTGGAAAAGTGCAATCGAACAATCCACAAAGCTGCGAAATAAATTAAAAATATATATAGCTGTGTTGCAGCAGCTCTATTTTAAAAGCTATTCTCCTGTTTATATCTCTGTGTATTTTATAACAGATTTTAGCACAAGTTACACTTGTCTTATTTAACGTGCATCCACACATTAGCCTTCCTCAGAGTAGGGATATGTTTTGTCTTACTTACTATATGTCAAGCAAAGAGCTGCTGCTCTATTTCCAACTCAAGGATCTCATGCCGCATGGAAGTGGTGATGTGATTATTCAGCTATATGATATACACACATCTATCTCTCAAGGATCTCAATAGCATTGTGCCACACAGTTATAGAAAACGCCCCCACAGGGGAGATATTTTCAAGCATCACATTTCAGTGATGGAAAGAGCTACTGGAAGGACTGGAAGCACTGCCCCTCTTTTCTAGGTGAGGCTTTCTGTGGTAACACCTCAGCTCATCAGGTTCACACTGTAAGTTGACTCAGATTATAACTCCTATGTTTCCTTAGGCCACCAGAGAGTCCTTTTAGCGTGTTGAGTCCAGTGAGGCAGCTGTACTGCCACGGGGCCAGCTGGAGCTCAAGGTTGTGGCACACCGGAAGGACATGATTCAGTTCGAGGGCAAGTTGGAGATCTTTATACAGGACAGTCGGGTGCACACTGTCCTCCTCTGTGCCACTGGCACTGGAACAACAGTTGCCATTGACTGACCTTCTCGTCCCGGCCTCGACCTAGGCACACACTTCAGGTAGAAATCACTATTTCATTTTCACAGATTCAATTTTGACTTAGTGTGAAGTCCTTTTGCAGAAGTGAATAATATGACACCAAGAATCTGCCTTGAGCTCTTTTTGCTTTGTAAGCCACGAGTCATATCAATATCACTTCAAGCTCTTCAACCTTGGCATGCGAGTACACCGGATGTACAGGAAGATTGATAACTCACAACCCACTTCAAAAACCCACAAAGGTGGAAACTTGCCTAGCCAGAGTTTCCTACCTCCTTTCTCAACTCCTAAACCTAGAGATGCTCCAAGACGTGGAGTAACTCCTTCCAGCAGAAAGATGGTCAGCCTCATTCTGTGATACTGTGAGCTTTTTTCCAGCTCACAGTGTCTTCAGACTGTCCTAAGGTGAAACTGTTTGTGTGTATGTCCTAAAAGTGAATAATCATAGCCAATCTGTGCATGAGAACAGATGCTGCAGCTCAATATGCAGTATACTACATGTACAGACTGTTTCTTTTTGGCTTCCCAGGTTCTACGTGAGCATCAAGCGTGCTATGCTATTGTTGGTGCAGGTGCTACCAGGAGAAGATCATGTCTGTGGATGTTATTTGTCACTTCGTAGCTCCACTGGTCAGCATTTTCCTCAAAGCA